CTGGGGCACCACTGAAGATAAATCAGTCTGCTTACGTGATTCTCTCTCTCCCTTTCCCCCCTCATCTCTCTCCGTCTCTCAGGCACAAGCACATACAGACACATCTTTTCAGTCATTTAACAAATATTTGGTGAGCCAATATAGTAGTGAATAGAATAGATAAAGGTTACATCCCACAGGGGAGGCAAATGACATGGAAATAAATAAAACATGAAAATAAATATCGAATTACAAATTGCAGTGTGTGCTCTGAAGGAAAACAAGGGCTAGACAATCAAAGCACAAAGAGACTAATTCAGTAAAGGGACTTTACTGAGCATGGGCCTTTGTGAGTAAACAGAGTTCACAATTCGCCCCTTGGTTTAGAGGATGTTAGTGCAGGAGTGGGAAAGACCAGCTGTTCCAGGCAGGGGAAAAGGCACACACAAAATTCTTGTAGTGGGAGAGAATCTGGTGAGCTTGCAGAACTAAAGTAAGACCAACGTAAGTAGAGCTTTATACCTAAATGTGATGTGCACAAGATATTTCCTGGATTCATTTTTCTGGGATTTTTCACAGCCTAAAAATTTGCCAAAAAGAAATTTACTAATATATGTGCAAGAGATTCACTAGGATTACTTCTCTTAAAAATGCACCATATGCTTCCAGTAGCTCAAGAGCCTTTGAGAACAGGATACTCCAAGGAAGTAAAAGAGCATCCAGAGGAGAGAGAGATATGCCCAGAGAGTCAAGGTCTCTAAGTAGATGGTCCCTGAAGACTGGTAATAAGGGAAAAGACTTTTTATCAATGGGTCCCGACTATGGATCCATCAGACCAGGTAAATTAGAGAGAGCTGGTGAAACAATGGTAGAGTACTTGTCTAGCATGCACAAAAAGTGCTGGGGCTAAAGGAATGAAAGAATTATAAATCTAAAGATGAGATGAGTTAAAAATGGCTCAAATTATTTGCCACATCTCTCATTGAGAAGTGGAGTTTGTTTCTCCAGTTCTTGCATCTGGCTTGTACTATAACTCTTTTGACTAACAAAATGGCAGAAATGATTCTGTGGTACTTCTAGGCCCAGCCATTCCAGTCACTTCCAAATTGGTTTCTTGAAGCACTGAACTGTCATACAAGAAGTTCACTATGCTGCTGAGACTGGATGGAGATCTATGGCTACTTGAATGGCCTTCCAGTTATCGCACCAGAATACTATATGGGTGACTGAAGTCCTCTTGGATGTTCCACTCCAGGTGCAGCATTAACTGAGTACTATGAAATGACAGCGGTCAGCCCCACGTGAACCAGCAGAATTAGTCAAGATAAACCTGTACCATATTTGTGGTCTACAAAATCATGAGATATAATAAATATGTTGTTGTTTTGGAGTACCATGTTTTAGAATTGTTATGCCACAGTAGACAATAAAACATGGGCCAAAAATCCTTTTGGTTTAGGGACTTTTTAAGCTGGTAAGTCTATGAAATGTTTGGGATTTCTAGGCCTTTCTGGGCCCTATCTTTGTTTCTCTAGTTTGGTTTATGAATTTCTTTTTGAATTAAATTTATCTTTTGTTTACAGCATACAATTAGGTTTTTTTCCTTGATCCATTCTGCCAATCTATGTCTTTTGATTAGGGAATTGAGACCATGCACATTAAAAATCATTACTGAAATGTATTGACTTAGAAAGCCAGAAGTTTCCAGAACAGAAAAAGGAGGAAATAGGAACATCAGATAAATAATCATGTCTGACTAACAATTTGTAATTGTTTGTTGAATAGAAAACAACCTTCTTCACACCTGTCCAGCCCAATTAAGCAGGAGGGAAAGACTGCCCCAAAATAACAGCTATTTATTGGGCTGAAATTTTCTCTGAGATGAAATGCCTAATGTGTCCAATAGGGTTCATAAATGAGCAGCTCCAATACCTACTACCATTTAGAAGATTGTTTTAAAACCAAAGCCACTTGTAAAATGGTGAATACCTGGTTTTGAAATCAAAAGTTGAAAACTACTAGAATGACAGTCTTCTTAATCAGGCCAGTCTTTCATGTTCTCTGTTTCTGCTTACTTTTTCACTATATTACACTTGGACTTTGCCCAAATTATTAATTATTTTTGGTGATTGGGTCAGGAGTGGCAAGAATAATCACAAATATGTCCCAAACTTCAAACAAGTTTGTAGTTTAAAGCCAAATATCACAAGTGCCAAAGTGAATTACACTGCCTCACTCTGCCTCCCCCGAAAGAATATTTAAAAATAATGGAATGTCAGGGAAAAGAAAAGAATAAAAAGTTACATAAATATTCAAGAGACAGTAAAAAATTCTAACAGAAAGCAGTCATACAACATATTAGGAAACTTAAGACCTAATCTTGCCAATATAAATTTCCTAATGTCTCTGAGTCTCAGTCTCTTCATCTGGCCACTAGATAGAATATCTTAAAAGTTCATCAGGTGGTTATGCAACTCTTTGTAATCATTAATATGAAAACAATACATACAACATTAAAAGTGTTCAAATGTAGTGTTAATATATAAAATCCAAAATTTATTTGTCTCTAAAGAAAAAACAGAGAACTATATGTTGCCCGTAGGTGGAGAACATCTAATACAATCCATTTATTTTTCAGGTGACAAAATTCAAGTTTAGAAGAGTTCAATGACTTGTGAAGACTGCAGAGCCATCACTTGGAAAAGTGTTCTCACACTCAGCCTACTGTGTTTTCTTGGGTTTTGGAATTGTCCTTGAACATCTCTGAGGTTGTAGGCAATGGGAAGAATTGTCATCAGCGTGTACGTGTCATGCCAATATGAAGGCCAACTCCTCCTTCTCCCCACCGCTGAGCCCAGCAACACCCTAAATCTAAGGTTGAGATGGGTGTGTGTCTTAGTCACTTTCCCCAGGGGAAAGAGATATGCTCTTCCAGGACACCCCCCAGTAACCCATCTGAAAAGAGGAGAGGTTTATTTTGGCTCATGTTTTCAGTCCATGGTCAGCTGGCTTCAAGGCACAAGTGGCAAGAATAGTTAGGCAGAGGAAAATTACTCACATAATGGCAGTCAAGAAGCAGAGAGAAAAGAGAGAAGCCAGAGAGGGAGATGCACCCTTCCAGGTCACACCCCCAGTAATACAACTCTTCCAGTCAGGCCCCACCTTCCAACAGCACATTCAGCTATTGAACTCACCTCTGAATGAATTCATTTATAAGCTCAGCATCCTGATGATCCAGTCACCTTCAGAAACCAAGCATGAGGCTTTCGGGGACATTGTTGAGCTAACCATAACAGTATGGAAATTAAAAAGTAATGGAATGAAATTTTAAATTTTTCCTTATTAGAAAATGGCAGAGAGATGATCAAATTCACCTCAACACAGATTGTTCCAGCACAGACCAAGAAAATCCAAATTCTTTCCTTTTTAAAAGCAGAGGTATTAGGAAGAAACACATCATTTACCAAGCTTCTAAAAAGTTCCAAACTTGTGCTAGGCACTGTTCAAGTGTTATCCCAGCTAATCCTAGAACTATCCTATTACTTGGATATTATCTATTTTATATATAAGATTAGAAAGTAGCTAATGTAAGGTCATATCACTATAATCAGCACAGACAAAATCCAAACTCAGAGCAGTCTGATTCTGTAGCATATTTGCCCTTTCCTAAAACATTTCATTGCCCCTAAAAGGTAAATGAAGAGCACTTCCCACCATTGTCTAATTCATTTTTGCTCCCACAAAACTAATTTCTGAGCCTTTTTGAGGAATGGGCTGGGGATATATATTTTCTTTATACTATCATTTATTCACCACTTCCTGGAGTTTGAGCCACACACTTCTTTACCCTAGCCACTCCCCTATCATAGCCTGTTACCTCTTTTGACCGTGAAGACCATGTGCCATTCATCTTTAGAGCACTGGTGCGAGTAGAGTCTCTGGCACTCAATGAATCTTTGTTAAATTAACTGGATGAAGGTGGACTGATGCAGAGATGAATAAAACATGGTCCTTGCCATCATAACATTTAAAATCTAATTAGACAGAGAACACACATACCAGAAACAACAATAGAAAATAAGCAGTAGAAGTATCAGAGAGTTGCCAGGTGTGGTGATGTGTGCCTGTAATCCCAGCATTTGTGAGGCCGAAGCATGAGGATTGCCACAAGTTTGAGGCCAGCCTGGGCTACATAGTGAGTTCAGGGCCACCGTGAACTATAAAGGGAGACCCTGTCTAAAGCAAAACAAAACAAACAAACAAACAAAAAGTATCAGAGGTAAAGAGCCAAGAAAATGCTTTGTGGAAAAGAGAGCTCTGTATTAGACTTTTAAGATCTAGTGGAGGTCCAGTAAACCAAATAAAGGAACAACAGAGTTCAAAGAAGTCATTCGAAGTGGGAGAAATGATATGAGCAGAGAGGTTCAGTAAGAAAGCCTAGAGTTGACCCAGGACAATTACATTTGGATAGAACAAAGAAGACAGATAGGAGATGTGCCTAGCAAGTAGGCTGGAATCAAACCAGGGGAAGGCATCTTGGAAGACAGGTGAAGGAGCCATTGGGTAGAGTGACATTTTTTTCATCTTATTGAGTTTATTGGTAATTTTTAAGTATACAGTACAGTCACATTCATCATTGGGAACGTGTACCCTTAAATGACAGATCTTGGTTCTTATTTTTCCTGTATTCCCCTAGCCTCCCTTCACCCCCTCCACCCTTCCCTATTTACAAAGACTTTGTTTCCATTTTTTCCTTTTCTCATACACTTTCTTTTCCCTTATTTCCTTTCCCCTTCCCTTCCCACTTCCCCTACACCTTTAGCCCTTTTCTTCCTATGTCACATTATCAGTTAAACAGTTTGGATCTTATTTACACTTTTAGTTTTTCATACCAGAGAAACTATTCGGTATTTACACATGTGTGTCATTTATTTCA